TGCCACAGTTTTTGAGGTCATACAATTTCTCATGTTCTGGCGGAATCAACAGACATTGCTTTCTACTAGTATCCATTAGCTTAGAATAACTGGTATAACTGCAGTTACTGAACTTACTTGTGCTACTTTGGAAGGGAGCCATAATACAAGAATGCTGTTTACAGGTGCAGGATTTCTCATCGTGCTGCATACCAAGGTTATGACCCAGTTGATGAGCAAAAGTTATTGTGAAAGAAAACAAACTAGAAGTAATAAATGCCTCAACAGCAGATGCCCAGTTTGGATCACATACAGATCCAACAAACGATAATCCAAACTTAATCCCAAAATGCTTATATACAAATAAGTGGCCAACATCGTGCCTTAGGTGCTGGACAAGTATCGTTTTCCTCCATGTATTGAAAGTGTCAAGCAACTCATCTATGCTTTTTGCGATTGCAATGAGGTTCTTTTGTGACCATATTTCTAATCCAACCACCACCAGATGAATCCCAAGAGGCTTGTACAGCGAATCTGCAAGGTGAACAACATCCAGGACTTGTCTAGCGGTGACAGTTTCATTTTTACCAAATTGGACATATCGTTCATGTTCTACTACAATTGCTATCTTCATGTACCTGGGGTATGTTTGCCATAGTCCGCTCAAAGCACTTTTGCTTAGAATATTCTCTCCATTCTGGATCGTGGCCTCCTGGTGATTTTTGTCTTCTTCCATTACTCCACACCTCATTGGGATTTCATTCCCCTTCTCTTCCAGTCTGTAGACCACATGCTGGAAAGTAGCAGATGTCTGCAGAGGTTCAATTTCGTAGAGCTTATTACCCACTTGTAGAAAGCCTCTGAGTCCTCCTGAGCAACTGCTGAGGGTGACTAGGGAGGAAGGCTCGTCATGGACAAAGCCATAGTAAAAGCAGTCATTCCTGATGAAAGGGTAGTCCACCTCAATGTCTCCATCCTCATTGTAGGTAAAAATAGGGAAGTGCTTAGGAACAAAATTCCTCTTCTGCCTGAGATGTACCACGTGGCCTTTCCCTTCTATCTGCATTAAATAAGTAAGGTCTTGCGGTTCCCGGCCTCGTCGGGGTGCCATCCTTCTTGGGATAATAACTTCGTAAGAAATGAAGGAAAACCCCTGAGGTGGTACCTGACAAATGGGCTGACTCCAGAATATCCCAGAGGCAAGGACAAGACAGAAAAATCCTCTCTTGGCACTACCCATCCCCATTTCTCCCTTCAGGGGCCAAGGGAGGGGAGGCCTTGCCTCACGTTGGAGAGTGACAGCGATGGAAGCAGCAAGGCGGAAGGCAGAGGATAAAAACAAAAGTCCGCCACCACCACTGTAGTGGGAGGAGGGTAGCCATGGAGTTCCCTTTGGCTGTACAGCAAACGGCTTTTTCCTGTATCTTCTGGAGGGCATTCCAGAACTTTCAGGAAAGCCCCTCCCTCTAGTTGGCAGGCAGAGTCCAATAGGACTGATCTATTCCATCAGGTAGGCTATTTTGCCATTCCAGATCACCCTAGTCCCAAGTCACTGAAACAAAAGTAAAGTTTCATTCTTAACACTGGGGGGGGGGGGGAGATGTGGAGAATAGGTTGCTTTTAAGAAACTCTATCTTCAGATATCTTTCCCCCCCATTCCACTGGCCATCCCATTGGATACAACCATGTATTCTATTTAGATACATCCTGGAAAACTAAATTCAAGAGCAAAGACAAATTATGTTTATTATTTTACTGATTAAAAGAAAGGAAAGCAACGATAAGTAAGCTTAACTATCTACTGGCTAGTTCAGTAGATGGAATGCTGAGCAATATCCACGTAACTGAGCTGTGTTGGGTCCGGATACATGCAGAGAATTGACGAGAGCTATGCCCTTATTTTCCATCCTGATTGTCAGGCATATGATAAATATCCTGAGGTACAAAGCAGTCTATGCTATCTTTTGAAGCTCTATTCTTGAATCAGTTGAGTTATTTAGCCCTCTGCTCTTAAGGAGGTAGGAAACTTTTAAACAGAAAGTTATTGCCCTGAACATATTTTGGAGAGGTCAAGAAACTGGAGAGAGAAGAACAATCAGGTAAAATGAAGATGCCACATATCTAATCAGAGCAGAATATTCTGTTTTCTTCCATGGATCTGGACAAAAAAAATGGGGGAATTTTTTTGTAAAATTTAACATACAAAAGTCTATTGTAGGCCTGATTCTGCATTTTCTGTTTCTTACCTCCATTTTCAATAGTTGTGATCAGAAGGCACACCAGGAACCCCCAAAATAGGTTTGGGAATTACAGGCTAAGAGAGGCGTGTTTTAAGATAAGAGCACTTATATGAAATTCACACCCTTTTCCTGAGGTTTCTGTTGTTTTTTTAAAAAAAGAATTGATGATTTTTTAAAAAAAAAATTTGCAAGGCTTTTATTTCTATTTAAACAATTCTTAACACCATTTATTTTAGATGTATTTGTGATATATTTGAATATTTTATTCTCATATACTATTTATAATGTTCATATACACTCTTGGAGGCCTTATAACCTGAAAAACAGAATATGAATACTATGCTAAATATGCAGTATTATCACACCTCATACCCTAAAAGCATTAGTATCTCACCTTGGAATGAATTACATCTTTCTTTTCCTATACCTCATCCTCATCACCTTGCTTTTTAAAAAAAGGGACTGGAGAATTTATTTATTCATTTATTATTTATTTGGAGTCATAATTATTTTACGAATAGCACAAGGCAGTGAACATGTCCAACATATTTTCCTCCTCCTATTTTCTCCACAACAACCCTGTGATGTGGATTGGGCTTAGTCAGAGGGACTGGCCCAAAGTCATCCAGCCAGCTTTCATGGCTAACGCAGAAGATGAACTCATGATCTCCCGCTTTCTACTCTTACGATCACCTTTCATTTCCAGATGATGTGGCTTCTTTGATCCAAAGGTTTGTGTTGATCCCTGGAACGTGTAAGGTTGGTTCTGGCCTTTAGCATGTTCACAACTTTCTTAATGGACAAAAAAATACATAAAGCTTATTTAATTAAATGTATTGGCCACCTAACTCCCACAGTCTCTAATACAAAACTAAAAAAAAGACAAAAACAGAAGCACTAAATCAATAGGCAGCACAAACTAAAATAGTCTGTGGAGAAAACCCACAAAATAACGAATATTAAACCTTGATTATCCATTAAACATTGATCAGCCATTATGTTAAAAAGGCAAAAGAAAGAGACAAGATCACCGGCTCATCTGGTGAAATTCCTAATATCCTGGGGCCATCCACATAAGGAACGAGTAAGACTTCTGTTTTTTTCCAAGATGTGATTCTGATTACTTTTGATGGTTTTGTTTCCCAAGATTTGTGAGATTTCCTCAGGCTGGTGATTAGAATCTTAGAGGCTTTTCAGTCTAAACAGTTTTACAGATAAATCAACTTGAGCAGGCCTGATTGTTCACGAATAATGAAAGAAGAAAAGGGCTCAAGAAACCGTGGACTACTAGTAGCAGCGGCACCCTATTTTAGACAGGTGGTACTCTCCCTGAAAGACCAAGCTCATTTGGGAGTAGCTTCAAATGTCAATGGATATAAAATAATAATAATAATAATAATAATAATAATAATAATAATAATAATAATAATAATAATAATAATAATAATAATAATAATAATAATAATAATAATAATAATAAAAAAGTTGGAAGGGACCTTGGAGGTCATCGAGTCCAACCCCCTGCCCAGGCAGGAACCCTACACCTTTTCAGACAAACGGCTGTCCAGTCTCTTCTTAAAAACTTCCAGTGTTGGAGCATTCACCACTTCTGGAGGCAGGTTATTCCACTGGTTAATTGTTCTAACTGTCAGGAAGTTTCTCCTTAGTTCTAAGTTGCTTCTCTCCTTGATCAGTTTCCATCCGTTGCTTCTCGTCCTGCCTTTAGGCGCCTTGGAGAATAGCTTGACTCCCTCTTCTTTGTGGCAGCCCCTGAGATATTGGAACACTGCTATCATGTCCCCCCTCATCCTTCTGTTCGTTA